TTCATTTTGCAAGTTTTACTCTACACAAGTACTATTTAGGAAATGTTTTGTTTATATTCAATACACAAAACACTATTTTAAAACTCACTGAAATTTACAGGTTTCCCAAGGCTAAATGAAAGAAATACACAAATCCATTTTGCAATGCATTAGTGATTCAATAATGAAATTAAATTTGAATTACTCATCTAACACAGGTTAAATGAGGTTAAATCATTCCAATGCCCTAAACAACAGGACATAATTCCCTCTCAAATAAGAGGGTGTTTACACAAAGGAGCAGTTTCACATATGGAAAGGGGAAGAAGGAATTCTGAAACCCTTATTATCACTCTCGGGAATGTGAAAAAAAAAAAGTGAAACAGCTTGATTTATTTCTGAGCCACTTCTATTGAAAGCAATAATCTGATCAGTCATTCATTTGATTTTCCTCAACTCTCTCTCTTTTAGTCTCTCAACAACTTACAAAATGACTTTTACATACTGTTTTAATGTGATTCTCATGAAACATCACAATTCAACTGATTTGATTTCACTTTTGTGGGAAGAGAATGTCTCATCAAACTTATCTGACCAGGAGGTTAATGATTGGCCCATTAGATTAACTTACTGAGGCTGATTCCTTTGAGTGGTAGTTTTGTTACAGTCAGTCCACTTTCATTAAAGGGATAGTTCACCCAAAAATTCTCCCATTACTTGCCCTTGTGTCTTTCTAAACCTGTAAGACTTATGTTTACCTTCGAAACACAAAATAACTTTTTCATACCACTACCACTTTGACGATTCAAAAAGTTCATAAAGAGATTGTAAACCTTTATGAATTGAGCAGTTCAGTCCAAATTTTCTGAAGAGACACGAATGCTTTATATGATGAACAGATTGAATCCAGGCCTTTATTCACATTTAAACATTGATCAGCGAACATAAACAGAAGCTCAACTGAACCTGCTTAATGCACGAGAAAAAATAATAATACATAACACAAGAATTAACCTCATTGGTTCATGGATATCAAGCAAACATGCTTGAGTTTCCTTTTATCACAACTGATGTGTGAGTTGATGAATGTTTATGTGAATAAAACGATCATGTCTCTTCAGCAATTTGGACTAAACCGCTCAATTCATATGGATTAGTTTTATTTCTTTATGAACTTTTTGAATCGTCAAAGTGTTAGATGCATAGCTGTCTATGGAGGGACAGAAAGCTCTCAGAATTCATTAAAAATATCTTAATTTTTGTTCTGAAGATGAACGAAAGTCTTACAGGTTTGGAACGACATGAGGGTGAGTAATCAATGAAAGAATTTTAATTTTTGGGTGAACTATCCCTTTAACAAAAGCAGTATAATCAATGTTTTCTTATGGAATATCACATTTCACATTCATGTGGTTGTGTTGCATTAAAATATGATAAACACAGGCCTAAGTAACAAACTATTTGAGTGATTCAGGTACATTAAATTTAGTTAATTAATCATCACATTTATCACACACCCTCCTACACATATAAGCATTACATTATAACTGTCATCATAGTCCATCAGAGAAAATGGCAATACAAATCTAGTATGACCAAATAATAGTGAAAATAAATAACATAGGCCAAATTAATTTGGCAAATAACAATGATCTTGTAGAACATTTTCAAGGTGGTAGGCTAGCATGCCAACAAAACACATTACGCAAGATATAGGCTACCATATTCTGCACATTATTAAAAAATGTATTTTTAAATTGATAAAAAGGTTAGGCTACTAAGGTTAACTGTTGGTCTTAGCTGACTTTAGATGGTATCCTGACCAAGCTGGTTATCAGCTGGTTGAGCTGATTTACACCAGCTAGACCAGTAGAAAAGTGCTCATTTAAAGCCAGCAAGCTGACTAACTTGAGCAGCATGGGAGAAAAGCTAAGACCAGCAAACCAGTTTAAGCTGGTATGTAGCCTATGCTGTTTTGTTTTCAGCAGAGATAGAATTAAATTTCGTATTGCACGAAAGATTGACAGAAAAGTATGAACTTAACAGTTATAAAAGCATCGCGTCGCACAGGTACGATTCTGCCTCTGTTGTTGACCCCCCCTCTTCCTCTTCCTCCTCATCATCATTAATCATATCAACGACATAAACAATCATGAGCATACATTTCTTGTTTTGTTACAGCTCGTGTATGACCAAAGTGATATGAAGAGGTGATAATGCAATGTCCACTCTCGTGTTAGCACGTAGATCCGTATCATGAAAAACTCTCATAAAGAGGGCAACGAGACAGGAAAACGGTGGACCAGTAGGCAATGTGAGAGAACGAGGCTGCTGTGACACGAATGAACACACGCATGGTTTATCATCTTTTAACCACACTGAGCCTTTAACAGTCGTACGCAAAGAGTGAATACGGGGCAAACACATCAATGTTGTTCACTAATGTGTGTTTGCACTCGGGGTCGGGGACTGTGTTAGTGTGTGTTGGGATTGCTCTGAAGCGTATGTCACTCGCTCTCTTTTCTCGATGGCGTCTCTATATCGATAATTTCACACCTCCTGTTGATCTAATGAATGATAGTCCACACTTCTTCTGTAACTGTTGTGTGTTTTGTGTGTTGTGTGAATGTGTAGGACATTATGAAGATGTGGTTTTAATCTCTCTGTCTCGGAACCGTGCCGAAATGTTTCGCGCACTCTGAGTGGCTGCCTCGGGCTGTCACTCAAGCGTGCGTCCAATCATAACTGTCCTTACATGAAAACTATATTTTCAGTCACTGCATGTACAGTAGACTGTATGTTGCAAAAAAGTGAACAGAGAAAGACACCATCGAAGGGGTGCGAAAGGTGGACCACGGAGCTGTTAAGTCACTTTGGTGGGCTGTTGTAGGTAAGTGGGCGACGCACATGCACTGTTATTAAGAGTTTATTTTATCAGCGCAACGCCGATCTGACACTAATACACAACATCCAGGAAGCTCTACAGATAGTGGATCTGAATCAGAAAAGCATTCCAAGCATGGTGGTGTCATCCTTTAGAAGTAGGTGCTGTTGAACAACTTAAACGCAGCACTTCCAGTTTAAATCCAGTTTAAAATGATTTGTGTTTTGTAATAAGGTCTTGGTCCTCCAGAAACAAACCAGCTATCAGTCAGTTATACCAGTTTAAGTTGGTCAATGATGTTTATGAAACATTTCTAGCTGGTCTAAGAGCGTCAAAGCTGGTGGACCATCGTTAACCAGCAACAAACCAGTGATCAGTCGGTCATGCCAGCTTATGGTGGTCAAGTAGGTTTTTTGCAAAATTTTAGCTGGACTAAGATTGTCATTAAGCTCCTGAACCAGCAAAATAAAAAATAAAAAAATACATACACTGTCACTGGTCAACCCTTAATGGCCAAAAATGTATGATGGGCTATGACGTGGGTAGTCAAGTGCACATATCAACTAGAATGTGTTTGAAGCTCGGGTTGTGTCTGAAATCACATTCTCACTTGAGTAGGTACATATTTTGAATATGCAATTCCTTTATGACTTCTTAAAAAAAGTATCTTCTATGTAGTATGAGCGTGAATGTAATATGGATGATCTACATTTGCCATGTTGTCATTATTACGTGAACAATCAGCGTCAGTTACATCGCTTCACTGCCATTCACAAATCCTCTCCCGTGGCCTTATGGGACAGTGAAGTGTCCATCGTTTGCACACCTCAGAATCTCGTGAGAAGAAGGAGGTCGTCCGGGTACTTTTTGCCTACTCTTTTATGAATTCTGTGAATTCCTACAGACATACTACCTTTTGTCACATTTTTTCACAAAATAGGGAAGTTTTTTCATATAGTAAGGAAGTATGTGATTTCAAAAGCAGCCATGGTACCGGTTCCTAGCTGGTGGTCCATCTTAGACCAGAAAAAAAAACAAAAAAAAACAGCTATACAGTTTCACAGACGAGGCTTAAACCTAGTCCCAGACTAAAATGTATGTTTGTGCTGAAAGTAACTTGCACTTACATATCATAAGATGCATACCAGTAATGTTTTTCATTTTCTAAGACACGTTTATAAAAGCTACTTAAATGTCCTAATTAAACTAAGACTCAATCCTGGCTTAAACTAAGGCTCAATCCTGGCTTAATCTAAGCCCCGTCTGTGAAACCAGGCATTTAAGACATTCATACTGGCTTAAGCATAAGCAGGTCAGCCATGTTTTTGCAACATGATCGCTCATTTCTAGCTGTTCTATGATTATTATGCTGGTAGACCAACAACAAACCAGGTGGTGAAGCTAATATTTGGAAAACGGTGACTGGTCAACCAACTAATTATGATAATGATGACATTCCAGTCGAGAACAGCAACACACTGGAGAAACTAACTAGAAGTGTTTTAGAGCATGGTAGCTGGTCTAAGATGGTAAATAAGCTGGAATACCAGTAACAAGCAGCTACCGGCTGGTCATATTAGGTGATCAAGCTGGTTTCTGGAATTGCTATGATGATGATGATATAGTCTAGTTAGTCCAGAACAGCCCCCCACACACAACTAGATGTGTTTCTGGCTGATCAAGATAGTTTGCAAGCTTGCAAACTATTGGACCAGCAGCAAACCACCTACCTGCTCGGATCAAAAGCTGATTTTTGGTCAACCAGAGAACCCAAATATAAAACACAAGTATCGTATTAGACTGGATTTTCTAACAGGACACCGACTGAATGAGGATGATAATGATGTGACACGGTAGGCCAGTGAGTCCAGCGCTGTGTGAACATCCACACACTGTGCACACGGGCTTCAGTGGGAACACTTGAACGCACGGAGGGGGAGGAGGGCGGTGAGAGAAAACAAACCCAGAAAATTGTTCGCCTGAAACGAAAGTACCAATACCAAGTGGCATTCTGTCCTCACCGTTATTTGTTCTTGGAGTGATCGGCGCGATTGTGATGTAGTTTTGTCGACTTCACGCTGCGTTGTTGCACCCTTCCAAGCATCCGGTAAAAAAAATAATAATATAACGTTAAGTGTCTGTGGGGCTACTGTACGGACGGCCAGTGCAGAACTGTTCTGATGTGTCAATAAGTTTGAGGCTGGAATGAGAAGGCCCTGGCGTTTCGACCGGATTTCAGGGGTAAGTTTGCATTCACATATGCCGCGATGACTGAAAACTTGGACATATTTTGTTTGTGAAAAGCCCCGAGTTCCGATTGATCGGGAGCTCTCGCTTAGACAGTGCGAAATACGTGCCAGTTTGTTGTGCTTCGGCATAAACAACTTTTGTGATCTGCGTGTGTGACACCTGCTCTCACCGAACATCGGGCTTTCGGTGCAATTCACGACTATTTAACATGTACGACCAACCGTGCGATTATTGCATATGGGTCTGCTAATGACACGTTCAGGCGAGAGCTAGAGCAATCTCGCATCACAGGGGCTAGCAGGCTAGCCAGCTACTTTTATTCTATCTGACTGAACGGAGCGAGAAACCTGAGCACAAAACCGTCTCATCTGAAAAGTCTGCCCTGAAAACCCATAGTTTAAGTAATGAAAGCTTGTGGAGGGGTATCTCTCTCCGAAAATGCCCTGGCGGAGTTTGACAGGAGTGAGATTTATACTTCATCTTCCCCAAAGCAAGATGGACTCTCGGCTGTCTGTCTTGTCAAAGCCCAGATCGACATTTTGCACCGAGATGCAAACCGAGCACAGTTCAAATAAGGGGTCAAATGAGTTATGAAATGTGCTCGATGGCTTAAATAATTGCACGATATCGTCGACATGGTGCTTTGTGGAGTTCTTGATTCGCTGTTCGACAGTTGAGCAGGGATAGAGACAGAGAGAGAGCACCGCTCTCCGGCTGTACCTGAAAACGAAACGCTGCAATACTGTATATATATCGTCCATCCACTCGACAAAACTGTGTCGGATTTGCTTTAATAGAACCTACATGAACGAGTCGAAGTATGGCAAGCCTTTTAAACATTGCTTTCTTGACTTATACTACGTATAATTGGGGGTTTTCACACTTGAAGCTAACCCTGGGTCAGTCAATCCCAGGCTAAACGAAATCCTGGGTTATTTTAATTTATGTTCCACATTGCTCATAATTTAACCGGTTTTATCAATTATTCTTTGGGATTCATCAGACGTTTCACACTGTATATTCTTAAACCTGGCTGGGTTAACATCCTTATTCTCAGTGTCACTGGATTATTGCGCATCCTCATATTGTATATTCTTGCCCTGTGTATTATAAAGTGTGTCCTGATTGGACTTTTTGGACTATAAAGGTAAGAATGAAATGTTTTCTTCCTCATTCCAATTGTCGCATGTTCAGTCACCATTTGCCATTTTTTCCCCTCAAATGCTGAAACTACTACACAATGTTTCCATAACTGTCCAAAACATATGAATTTGAATGAGACACTGTTGCTAAGCATCTAGTTGTAACACAGAACTACTTAACACTGTATACGTTTTGCACCCCATTGGGGTTAACTTTGCAAAAGCCATGCTAACTCTGTTCCAGAGCAGAGTTTCATAAGCCTGGGCAAAAAGCAGTGCTAATCCTGCTTCTAAATTATATGTGTGAATCGTACCTTTACTCCGGGTTCAAAGCTGGGTTTAGAAAGCCGATAACCTGGGGTTAGGCTAACCACAGTGTGAAGGTCCTATTAAATTCACTATTAACTTAACTGTTATGTAAATGCATATTGAGTTAAAGAAGTGTTCACCATGATCTGCAGCAGAAAGGCATTCATTCTGCATAAACGATTACGATTACGACCGTCGGTGATGGAAAAAGTTGAGAAGCAAATGTGCAGCGATGCGTCATCAGTAGGAGTTTGAGTAGGAACGCCGACTGGAAACCAGAAGTACAGCGAGTCGGTGACGTCCAGTATTTTAATTGCACCACTCACGGCTGTTTGTGACCATGCTTAGCAATGAAAAGTTGCAATGAAAGGGAAATATGGACATCCAAGTGCAATGGATCATCAAAATAGATAAAATGTAAGTTGGGAACATGGTTCAGTGCATTGGTTGTTGATTGGGTTTTGACGTGGGTGTTGCACTCAAAAATGGAGGCCGATGAACATAAGCTTGTAAGGGAGCACACTAAATGATTGTCGTTTTTTTTTTTTTTAGTTTTTTACCAGAAAATCCAGTTGGTGTTTTTATTAAACGTTACGAGGTCAGATTTTTTTTTAATGTATTTTAAAAATAGGGTCAGTTTTCATTCCAAGCCGACTTAAACAAATGCAGACTTAAACAAGTGATGACCTGTCTCTTGTATCAGTGTCTGCAAAATAGTGAAGTTCATCTTACAGAATGCATTTTTCTTATGTCTCTGACTGCATGCAATGACTATGTAAAACATAATGTAAACAATGCATGACAATTAATTGTGTATAGACCCAAATAACCTTGTGTTTGTGGTCTTGGCACAGATAGATGGCTGCACTTCCACATGATGATGCACAAAATTACATTGAACAACATTTTAGCGGCAGTGACTTTCATTATCACGTTAGGTTAACCAGAACTAAGAACTGAGCTAGCAACCACCTGGTGCAGACTTATGAACAACAACAACAAAGTTGCTAGTGTGAACAGGGCTTTATTCATTAGATACTAGTACTTATTTCAATTAGAGCGCACCAATACTAAATTTACATTTCCGATAGGGAACCCTATCATTCGGTATATTACTGTAAAATTAGTGGTTAAAATTAACAACAGAGCCCAAACTATTATAATCAACTGCTATTTATTTTTAGAAACTGATATGTTTCTGTACAACTGTTGCACTTAAGGTAGTTTTCACAAACCCTTGTCTTCATCACAAATCTATTCAAACATTAACTGTAAATAAGCTCCTCTCTAGTGTTTTTTTAATAAATAGCTAACAAATAAACTGAATATTGTATATCTTTCCTGAGGTAAATGCAACGTTAAGTGAAGCTGGTTTATTGACATCTTTCTGCTGTTGAAACACTGATTGAGCGATTACATGAGACATGATATGTTTCGGTAAGTTGACTGTATTAGAGCCAGACCGATATATTGGCAGGCTGATATTATCGGCCCGATATTAGGCATTTTCCAAACTATCGGTATCGGCAGTTATAATGGCCGATAAATGAATATTTCAAAAATAAAACAAAAACGGATGAAACACGCTTGAACCATGTTATGAGTGTTGGAGTTGTATAGTTTGCCACCAGAGGGCACTCACTCTAGTCTACACCGTTCCTGTTGGCAACACTCGTTGAATTGTTCACGATACATACATTGCTTGAATAACAATTAAAAGATCATCCCCATCAGTTCTCTTAACACAAATAAGCATGACAAAATTTGTGACTATCATGTCCAGTTTCATATAAATAAATAAAATATCGGCCGATATATTGGAATATCGGATTTTAAAACACAAAAATATTTGTATAGGTATCGGCCTTCAAAATCCTTTATCGGTCGGGCTCTAGACTGTATCTTTCAACATACCTTTTGTTGATCATGCATGTTATTTCGTGCTATAACTTTGTATTAAAGTGGAAGAAATGTCACGCCCTGCTGCTTGAACTTAGATGCAGTGTCAAAATGCCATTTATTTATTTTAATTTCCTGAAAAAATGGACAGAATATGAAAGCTCTTTGTGATTATTGGATTGGAGTCGTGCTACAAAAAATGTTTGGTCTGGAGAAAAACCATGGACCTGGCAACCCTGGCTTGAACTACAGGTGATTAATAGGGCCAAATAGAGCCCGCTTTAACATCGCTTTTTTAAATTGTTAAAGGCACACTATGCAAGAATTGTACCTTAATATAACAGCTTCAAAGTCATTTCGGTGGTTAAACAAACTCATAGAAGAGCGAATTATTCTGGTAGTAAATCTTCGGGGGGACGCTGCTGGAAAAACCATCAATGCAAGTTTGAGAGGAGCGCCCCCGACAAATCTCGCGAGAAACGACGCAACGACGTCACACACATCAACCACAACGTGAAGCACGAAGACAATTGCGCGCATTTCAGACGTGATCCTCGACGATGGGAAAAAGCTAAGAAAACGTGGAAGAGACTAGAAACAGGACAAGAGAATGAGCCTCTCTGCTCAACCCGTAAATAAATGCATCGATTCGCAAGTTTTGTTTGAGTTCTTAATGTTCATCAGTGGTTACAGTCTATATCAAGCAGGGAAATGTTTTTGCACATTTTATTTGAGACTCCGCGCATGCCACCACAAGAGACACTATGTAGCCATGACACTGATAGCAGTGGACACGAGAGCTCAGCTTGAGTTCAAATACGCATTTTAGTGCTGGATCTCTTATTTAATGCAATAAATGCACACTATGCAAGATTTGTACCTTAATATAACAGCTTCAAATTAGAGCCCGACCGATACAAATATTTTTGGGTTTTAAAATCCGATATTCCGATATATCGGCCGATATATATTTTTTTAAATTAAATATTGTTGGATTTCACACACGTGTAAAAGAAAAGCTAACTTTTCTGCCCAAATACTTTTGATACTTTTTCTCTATGTCTAAATGTTCACTCCTCACAAGTATAACTTACGTTTTACAATGCAGGGACTGTAATTAGAGATATGCTAGTTATAAATACAGTAATCATTACTTTATTTAGGCAGAAAAAGTTCATTGTGGTTTCCAAACTCATTAATGTTAACGTTAGCGGTCTTCCACTGATGATAGTGGCATTAGCCTGCTTTGTGGTTAGCTAGTCTATGATGAGCCATAATTTAGCAATAGATAACATCATACTGCAAGTTGTAGAACATTTTCAATATAACAGGACAAGGAGAGATTATTGAAGCATGTTTTGTCTGTTGTTATTTTATTTTTTATATATTCATTTATCGGCTATTATCACTGCCGATACCGATATTATGGAAAATGTCTAATATCGGCCGTGGATATCAGGCTGTGAGTGCAGAGACCAGTCTATGGTAGTTATGCCCTGCGTGAGTGGTATTTACGACAGTAACATTAAATACAAGTACTCCACAGCGACTCTAGGGGTCGCAATTTGACAAAAACGGAATTCCTGCATAGTGTGCCTTTAATGCGTTATTGTTGCAGGCCTAAATTCAACATGACATTTTCTTCACTCACAATATGAGTTGCAGTCTATTTGTTTTAACGTTTTGATTGACATGATTTAATCGTCCCTGATCATTGACTGTTTTTAACCAATCAACCGATAGACGATCATGAATACAATTGCTTTTATCGGCTGATACCGATTATTGGCCGTTACATCCCTAATTCCAATAAGTACTAGAGTTTAGTGGTTCAGATATTAGCTTTTCATTTCTGACTAGTGTATTTTCCATTTGTTGTACTTATACGAGTTTAAATGATTCATTGTGTTGTTATCTATTTATGCTTGTCACAACTGGATAGTAGTAGCATCTATTGAATAAGTACAAGCGAGTAATTTATAGATGCTAGTCGATGAATGAATAAGAACAAATGTCTAATGAAATGAATGAGTACTAGTATGAAATGAATGAATTATGAATAGTTCAATTGAAAGAAATACTAGTCAATATTGTACTCTTTAGTAGTAATTTTAATAGATCAATGTCTGATCACTTGGTTGCTGCAACTCACTGTCATTGTAAATGACGCCTGTATTAGTAAAAAAAAAAAAAAGTATTTAGTAAATATATACTAGTTAGGGCAATGTTACTACAGCCTGCCATAACTGAAGTGGATTCAATGGATGCGATAAATGATGTGAGCGATGTCATAACTTTATGCTTCCATCATCAATTACGTCAAAGATGCCAACTTAGTTTGATGCCGAAGCGGTGCACATATGCCTCTAACTAATCAACTCCACAACACACGGTTAAAATGTCGCTGACTGATGAGGTCGGACTCGGGACAGAGTTATTTGGTGCATTTGGCTTTGCTTTCGATGATTTATTCCTGTACTGAGGGCACAGTGTGTTTTTTTGTTTTGTTTTACTTTGTAGGTCATCTTCATCGCATGATACAGCCTGACTGACAGATCCATCCTCATCTTTCAAATACCGTATTTCCATATTCTGTGGCTCTGTAAGTACGCCTTCACTTCATGCCATGTGTTTCCTTTCATCGGTTGTTCTAACTCTTAAATTCACAGACTAATTGGTATCTGATGCCTTAACATCACGGATCAAACATTCATTACATCACAGATTTTAAGCTCGTGTCTGTACATAATCACCTGCTTATTGGGTTGTGCTCAATCTGAGATAAAACACATATTCATTCTTCAACCTTTTATCATGCAAAGAGCTAGTCTGTTCAAACATGGTCTACTTTCCTGAATGACTGCATCAATAACAAATTGTACTTTTGATCGTATAATGGCATATTAAAAAAAATGCATAGAATGTTATTCCTTTAGCCCTTCCATTGTAATCTGTAAGAATGGACTATAAATACCACATTGTTTTGGTATTGGAGCCAGGCTTTCTAACATTGTCATGGATATCTTAAACAGAATATTCAGATTTTAATCTATTTAAATGTTTTCCATCTGTGGTATTTATAATTTGACTCATATTTGGGAGAAAAAAAATGTAGAAAAAAAATGACTTTTTGGCCTTTCAGCTTAAAAACTATGCATATGAATCATATTTGTGGAAATGGAAAATAAATAGTAATTTTAAACCAGAATTGTTGCTCTAAGATGCATACCGTTAATTTTCTTTAATATGTTAGAAATTGTTTTTGAAATGCCAAGATTAATTCTTAATCAAATGTAAGATTTAACAACAACTATTTAACCATTTATAATGTAAATGTATATAACCATGGTTTTGAATCATCATATACTTTAAGACCAGCAAAGGTTATTTTCTTTAATTAATGTTTCTTCAGATCCGTTGAACACCAATTAAGAATTCAAGAATTTTTTAATGGTTTTCGATGTTGGGTCAAATTTTACCTAAGCATAACAGGTGAAATGAATGCAGTTCATTAGAATAAAAGGGGAGTTAAAGAGCAATTCATTTTTGAATGATTGTGCAGGTTTTTGTTTTTGTAGCTAATGGTTTGATAATGCAAACTCACTGTTTATATTTGCATATGAACACCAAAATTGCTGTTTTCTTAATCTTTCCACTTCCACAGTATCATCAAGCTGTTGTAGGTTTCGCTTAAAAAAAAGTGCATCATTAAAGTTTGATTTTATTCTATTATAATAGAATAGTAAGTGTTATTATTAATGTGTCAACACTCGACCCACTTCTATTCTGTACATCTACGTATTGTTGCTTTGTTTGCATCTTAATAATACATTTTATGTATTGTAATAATATTATACTCTTAATCCATTACACATGTACAATTTTAGTTGATCCACTATTATCAAGAAGGTAGTTTAGTAAAGATATGTAAATAAGCTTTAGATTACATGGATACAGCTAAACTTACTTCCAGTGGTGCAAAAAGTGGGTATGCGCTATATGCGGCGCATAGGGGCGCAGCACAATGGGGGGCGCCAAAGCGATGGTAAAAAAAATAAAATAATTATATATAGGCTATATTGTATTTCTATATGTAGCTGCCATTGTGCGTTTCTAAATAATTTCTGCATTCCTTCAATGTTATATAAAATTTTAGAGGACTAACAGCCAGGCTAGAGTAGGCGCCCTCATGGAGAAGGGGGGCGGGTAATATCGCGAGCGGGCGGGGGCGCCGTGAGCACTGAGCGAGCAGGTACGAGTAGTGAGTTGTCGTCGAAAAAGATGGATAAAACAAAATGCTGTGGGGCTAAAAATAGAAAAAGAAAGAGAGAAAAGGAGATGGCATGTCAATTGATGCAACAGCAGCTAAATAACTGCATGCATTGCTGAAAGCCAACAGGTAGGATTTAAAATGTGACATCCAGGCATGGCCATCGGGACTACCGGGAGATTCCCGCTGGGCCGACGTGCTTTTCAGCCAATACATTTCATCCTTTTTTAATTTATTTGTCTTAACGGCCCACAAAACTCATACATCGGCGGCCCATTTGTTTGTTGTTTGTTTGTTGTTTTGTTTTTTGCTTAATTGGCGGCGCTGTGCTGGTGTAATGGATTGGTCAAAAAAAGTCAGCTTTAGTTTTTTTTTTCTGACACACTGGCCCATGAAACATGTCATTATGCGCTTATATCTTTCGAGTATAGAAATTAGTGCAAAACTAATTATGAAAGTTTCCTTTATTTTTCTGTGCATTTGTTTTACAATAGCCTTTATGGCTATTATTACTATCATGGGATTAATATTATAACTATTATTATGTAGGCCTAGTAGTGTAATGTAGACAGACACTAACTAAAAGAGGTTCAAATTTTTCTTTGTTTAATTTGCACCCTGAATATGGGTTGGAGCTTTTAATTTTGAACTCTCAAAGTGCACCAGACTGCTGAATTTAACATTACAGAACACAAAATTTTCTTACGGGGGAGCATGCCCCCGAACCTCCCTAGAGAAATAGAGGTCCACCTTCCACAGTTTTACCTAAAATTAAAGGTAAAACGGTGGGGGCGCTAAAATTGTTGCTGCATACCCCTCTGAAACTGGGTAGTTGCGCCCCTGCTTACTTCACATATTTTACTTGCACTGATATCGCAAGATGTTTTCTTTTAGTTGTCCTCTTTCATAGACAACTCTTATAAATAGGCTATACCCATTTGTTTAATCTTGGATGAGTAAAAGATACAGAATATAATCGAATCACTACTGTAGCTTTAAACAGATTTCTTGAAATTCTAACTTTTTTTTTAGCAGCAAACCTGTTGCAAGTCCTGTTTCCCTCTCTTGGTTTAGTGATGTTTCAAACTCGTGATTCATTCAAAATTCATTCATTCATTTTTGAGTTATTGTAAGGGTGTGTTCACACTTGACATGTTTGGTTCGATTAAAATGAACCCTGGTGCGATTACTCTGTTAGCGCGGTTCATTTGAACGTGTGGGAACGCTGCCATCCGAATCCTGGTGCGGACCAACACAGCTGAAAAGATGGGTCTCGGTCCGCTTCCAAACAAACTCTTTTGCGATTTGAAAGATATTTGAAGGCAGCATGGACCAAATACATGTAAACACACCAAAAACAGGCAGATGAGACCTTAAAAAGGACAGAATGCTCACTCATATTAGGTTTTTGCGATGTTGGCCATCACAGTTTGGTACACATCACATACGAACCGCATCTCCTCGCAGCAGATCTTTGTTTGCGTGTGTGACGGAGGAATTTCTGATGCTTTTTTGACACCTTTACACATTTTATAAGCTTTACATGTTCTCAGCTGGTCGAAATAGTCATATGTAGGCTACACACATACAATGAGTGCATTTAGCCTAGCACACAGCATTGTTTTGGAAGTCCAGTTTGGAAATATACGTAATTAAAGAGACCAATCAGGTTGTGAGTCAGTTTTCTGTGAGCGAGGGATGGAGAGGAGGTGCAATAATGTAAAACCTTGCCCTCTATTCAATATTAATATTAATATTTCAATAATATCTATTCAAATATTCGGTTTAACTTGGAAATACGTCACAACACTGTGGAGAAAACTCGGGATCTGGACCAAAAAAAGTAGTTTAAGAAGTAGTCATGACCAAATGAACCAAGCGAACCTAACTACAAGTGTAAACACACCCTAAGATAGGAAGGTTGGAGAACCCATGCTAAAGTAAAACACATGCAAGAAGGGTAACAACTTTTATTGTAATGTTCCTTTCATAATTTCCATTTTAATTTGATCATGTTGCCTGAACTGAAAACAAAGCATTCACTTAATTCACATAATATTGGTGTTTATAACAGAGGCAGAAACATTGTTAATCATAAAATCGGCTTACTCAAACTAAAATCAAATAATACATGATCAGATCTCTACGAGATCATTATTCAAGTCTAATTGTTTAATCAGTAGATTTATTAATCTCAACAGCTTACATTGCTATTGTAAACTTAGCCATAGACATTTTATGTGAAAAAATGTACATACTGCAGGATGATGAGTCTAAATAATTTTGTGGTACTAGAAAATTCCTTTAATAGTAATGTTAATATATATTTACATTCTCATAACCGTGAATTACAGTATTATCCATATATTTTTGGATGATTATGATTTTTTTAATGACAATCTTTCCCATTTTAATTAGTTTTTTACTTGATTTTTATTCTCATTTGATAATGTATGCACTTTATCAAGCCGTCACTCAAGTCAATAAGAGGGGCTATTGCCACTCCGAATGAACTGATTAGTCTGAATTGCCACCCATTAGAGCATATAGTGACCATAAAGACAGAACTGCTGTCCTGCAAGACCCTTTTCATACAAATGGTGTAGCTTTATTGAGCTTTACAGTGATTAGTTTGTCCATACAGAAAAAGAATCAGCATTCCCATTAATTCAACTTCTGTCATTTATTCCCAATTATATTATTCGAAATCCCCCTGTAGCACTAAAAGAGATGAATGTCATATGAATGACTTGGAAATGTATGCTTTCATTGAATGGAATAGAGCAACATGAACATCCTCGAAATATTTCCTTTTGTGTGGCCACTGGAATTGATGGTTTTGCTAAATTAATGAATGAATGTACATGATTTTGTGAACCATTCATTTACTGTAATTTAATCTGCAAAAAAACCCCAAAAAAATCTTTCATTTTTGTTTCGTTTCAGTTTTGCTTTCTAGATAACCAATCATTATATCAATTCCAGTTATTTTATTCTAGTGACATTCATAGTTATAGTCATATTAACAAAGTGACAAATCTGCAGTTTTGTGAGAAATTTTGGTGAAACCTTTTAAAATAAGGTCCCATTGGTTAACGCATTAACTAACAACGAGCAATACGTGTGATGCAGTATTTATTATTTTTTATGATCATTAGTTAATAAAAGTATAAATGTTCATTGTTAGTTCATGTTATCTTAGGTCCATTAAATAATTTTAACATACAATTCTGATTTTAATAATAGTAATAGTAATAATAAGTACATGTTAAAGTTAACATTAACTGCTTTAGAAGTATTTTTCATTATTAGTTAATCTGAACTAATGTTGTTAATTAATGTTAACAGATGGAACATTATTCATACTTTTAAGAATAGTTTGTCATTATATATATATATATATATATATATATATATATATCATATAATAATTTTTAGATTTAGTCTTTTTTATATTACATTTTTCTATATGACACTATTTTTCTCAAACAGTATACATGTGTATTTTTACATGGAAATAAATAGGTGCCTTTAAAATACTGATGACAACATCTGGGTTAAATGAGATGTGACATGTACATCCATTAATAACCGAGTTCTCACATGCATGACCTCGACTAGTGTCAGCATTTGTTCAGTTCTATTACTGACTAAACAGCAAGAGGGCAGCAGACACCAGCTATATGGACACCCTTACGGAAGATGTCTGCTGTTAATGCAATGTCTAGAAACATTCCAAAATTCAGATCCATTCTGGATCCTTCCTGTGTGCATGTGTAACACATGATAATTGAGGTGCACGAGTTAGGAAACAATTTAGCTAGAAATGAGCTGGTATGTTTCATGGTGATGTGTCTGGGTGTGTGTGTTCCTCTTCCTGTTTGTGTGCATGCAGCGAACGTGTGTGAGATGTGTGCTCTGGTCCTATTGGAGAGGAGAGAGTTGGTGTATGTGAAGGTCACATGTACAGTAGAGCTGCACCGGTGCTGCAGATGCAGAAGAACAATGCTGAGATAGACAGGGAACCCTGTGTCCGCTCTCCATCAGCGAACACTGCGCCGCACTGCACTCGACAGCATGCCTGTTTTTTTTTTTTCTTGTACTAACAATGCACACTGGAAAACACAAATGAACAGTGTTTTGAGGATCTTTATCCAGAGCTATTGATGGTTAGGTTCTCTCCACTTGATTAACGGCCCTATCAAAAATACAGTATTGTAGCCTTGGCTTCTCTTATAGTTTTATGATGCCCGTCAAATTATATTTACAGTCTGTTGCTGCCAACTGTCTCCTTGAAATTTTTTTCCTTGTTGTAACCAATTACACATCTGATCTCACCTTTAAATTAAAGGGATACGTCACCTCTGGAATGATGAAAGTGGTTTAAAATGGGTCATTTATGTAGAAGAAATGTGAAATCATTTTTGAATTTGGAGCTTTCTAGACTGAGAAAAGCCAGAAAATATATTTTTTATACGCACCGGTCTTGTATCTCTCACGGAGGAGCGGGAATTTTCTTAGCAATGTTAAAACGCACATCAACCGATCACTTGTTTAGCGTTCATGTAAACACTACATTCAGATTCACTAATCAGAATGAATTCAGTTAGATTGAAACGAAAGGTCTGCATGTAAACAATGAAAGGCGACTGCAGAAAGCAAAAGCTGAATCTCGGACATCGATGGCCTGGAAAAAGAGGATAGTAACCCCTACTACTCAGCTTTCTCCACAGAACAAGAGCCTGCTAGCTTAGCTTCCAAAAAAGATGGCTGACACTATGTGTTCATTCTGTGAGTGAGATCGCCCTCTATGGGCGGACTGAAAACATGCGGGACAGCCCTACTACTGACTGTAGTCTTTAGCCTCTGGACAAAAAATCAAAGATTTTTTTCCCTACAAAAATTACATAAATCTCTCGTCTCAGGGGGATATGAGAGTGGAAAGCATGGGAATTTGAAAATACTACAGGTTTTCTACTAATACAAAGCTTAATGCTAAATCCTGAAGTATCCCTTTAACTACCAGGCAATGTAATTATCTGTGCATTAAGCAATTAAACAGCATTAAGGGCTGTGTTTGACCTCTGACCTTTGCCCTCATCAGGGTCAGCAGCAGTATGAAGGGTGGAGGTGGAGGGAAAGAACCTCCTGTGGAGGGAGAGATCAGCGGAAAGCGGCCCAAACGCAAGTGTCTGCAGTGGCACCCGCTGCTGGCCAAGAAAGCTCCGGACTTCTCTGAGGAAGAGGAGGAGGAAGATGAAGAAGAGCTGGAGAAGGTGAATGATTACTCAAACTGTATTCCCTGCCATTAGTGTGTTTTTTTTTTTTTTTCAAAACAGCAGTTGCTCTTTAAAGACATCTGTAAAGTCTGAAGTCTGTTAAGACAACATGAAAACGAAATGAGAGTTTTGTGGCGTTTAGTTCATGTGTCTTAGTTTTGAGATCATCTGTATGCTGGTGTACTTCTAAACATTGGCAAAATTAGATTTTAGGCATTTTAAATGTTTAAATTCATTGTAGAAAAAAAATTCTTAATTTCATTTTTGGGACTTGTACAATTTTTAAAAATGTTTTTGAAAGAAGTCTCTTATGCTCCACAGTGCTGCATTTATTTAATATATAAATACAAAAATACAATAAAAAGATTTTGAAATATTATTAGGATTTAAAATAACTGTTTTCTATTTGAATATAGATGAATTATCAGCATCATTACTCCAGTCTTCAGTCACATGATCCTTCAGAAATCATTCTAATATGATGATTTGATACTCAAGAAACATTTCTTATTATCAGTGTTGAAAACAGTTGTGCTGCTTAATATTTTAGTGGAAACCGTGATTTTTTTTCAGGATTCAGGATAGATATTTTAAAAGGACAGCATTTATTTGGACTAAAAATCTGTAAATTATGAATGTCTTTGCTGTCGCTTTTGGTCAGTTTAATGCTTCTTTGAAGAGAAGCATTAAACAAAAGTCTAATAAAAGTCTTTAAAAAAGATCTTACTGAACCCAAACATTTGAATGAATATTCAGTCAGAGTCAAATCGACTCTTTACAATGACAATAATTAATAGCAATAGCTTGGAGCAAATTATAGTTCATTAGAAGTTTTAGCTGGGTTAAACAAAGGCTACTAAAAATAGACATGCCATTTCCATACAACCTGTTTCGGTTTCAGAAATGAATCATACAGAAAAAAACAAAGCTTTAAAAAAAAGCAAATCTTTAATGTTGCATCATTGTTGAATCATTGGCCTGTCAGGCTTAGTCAGATTTGTAGGATATACCACCATTTTGTAGCTTTGTAACACTGACTGTTATTTTTGCTATTATTATTGTTATTTCATCCGTCTCTGCTAGAAAGTTTGCATATTTAATGAAAGAAAAATCCTCTCTTGACATTGTTTTAATTTATAATGCCTGCAGCTGTAAAAACAAAAGTATGTCTATATGGAAGTATGGGTATGTATCATTCATGTGCCAAAAGGAAGGACAAAAATCAAACTACCTTGGGTAGTTTCCTTGTTATTCAAATTCTGTTTGCAAACTGTGGAGGTTCGTGAGGGAACTGCATGGGTTCATGAGTTGATGAAAAGCTAATAATTAAGTCAATTATAAAAAAGTACATTTTTAAAATAGTTTTAAAAATAAAACAATGGCTGGGGAAAAAAAATTAGGATCCGCTTGGTTAAAGGGATAGTTCAGTTTGAAATTAATTTTTGGTATGTTTTAACTTACCACAAGCGCATCCAAGATGTAGGTGTCTCTGTTTCCGCAGTAGTTTCAATTTTGATATATTTTTAGGTCAAACTGTTCTTATAATCATATAATCATATAATGCTATGGTCACCACCTCAAAGAGCATGCACAGAGAAGTCCAAATTAAACATGATTTAATGACTCGTAAATGTAAGTACACACTGATGGCCTAAGACACGAAACGAGCGGTTTGTGTGAGAAAACGAACAGTATTTATGCCGTTTTATAACCACAGTAACATCCAAGTAATCTGAAGGCACGGGCGCTTCGGTCTGCGCAAGCGCCGGAAGTGATATCTCGCGCGGTTGCGAAAAAAAAAATCAACGTTGTCTGTTGATATATCGAAATCGTCTTTCATTGCAATTTTCTGTATATCTAAATATGTTTAGATCTTCACAGTGAAGGATAACACTCCCGAAATATCTGTAAACAATTTGTGACGTACACGCGCAAGAGATCACTTCCGGCGCTTGCGCGAACCGAAGCGCCCGAGCCCTCAGATCACTTGGATGTTACTGTGGTAACAAGAGGTAATTTCGTGTCCGCTTGTTTCGTGTCTTAGGCCATCAATGTGTACTTAAATTTACGAGTCATTAAATCAGGTGGTGACCATAGACCTCCATTATATGACTGATAGACACGAACGGTTTGACCTAAAAACATAAAAATTGAAAATACTGCGGAAACAAAGACACCTACATCTTGGATGGCCTTGGAAAAGCAAGTGATGACAGAATTTCAAATTTTTGGCTGAATTAACCCTTTGATATCCTTCTATTGTGAAATATTGGTTGTTAAACTTGGTGTAGCTTTCTCCACTGTTGCTGTTGAAATTGACCAGGTCCTTGTATGTCTCGTTCCACTTTTCGCCCCAGGAGCCGGTGTTATGTACAGAGAGCGTCGCTCAGGAAGGAGTGTGTGGTGGGATAGAAGATGACAGTGAAGAATACTCCTCTGAGCAGCGGGCTCGTCGGCCCATGAATGCCTTTCTGCTGTTCTGCAAACGCCACCGCTCGCTGGTCCGACAGGAGCATCCGCGACTAGACAACCGGGGGGCCACTAAGATCCTGGCAGACTGGTGGGCCGTACTGGACCCCAAAGAAAAACAGAAATACACAGACATGGCTAAGGAGGTAAAAAGGAGGCAAACCCCACACAAGAAGTCCTTTGTTTTGTTTTGTTTTTTAAGTACCTTGTAACCAATCACCTACGTGCCCGCTGGCTTTTGCATATCATTAACTAGTCTCAAGAAAAGCAAGGTTATCCCGGTATATTTTTCTGTTGACATGTAAAATCGAGTAGATTTAGCAATATATAGCAGATTTAACTATCCCAGATAGCAAACTGACATTGAATCAATGTTGATCTGACATTGTTTTGCTCATCGAATTAACGTTGAACCAACGTCAGACACGTCATTCTTTCAAAACTAACGGAAAATCAACTTGAAATCAACGCATTGTTTCAACGTTATGAAAGCAAACCAATTTTCGATTTTCATTTAGCTTTGAAGAATGCCGCGTCTGACGTTGGTTCAACGTTAATTCGATGAGCAAAATCAACGTTGTTTCCACGTTGATTCAATGTCAGTTTGCTGTCTGGGATGTACCTTTCTCCACTGAGCGTTTCTAAGGATACTGAGGCAGTGGTCAGACAATTAGCTGTTTGATAACATAGTCAAGCAAAAGACTAATATTAATAACTGTTATGTGTCCGAAGTTTAAAGAGCGATACCATTGTGCAGCGTTTACCTCAGTAAGTTGACCAAGTGAATGTAATGACCAAGGGTGTAGAGTTACATTCAAGTTATTTTAAGACATAAAGAATTTTTTTTTCACAGGAAAAAAAACATTGAAATAAGCAATTTTGGTAATCAAAGATGAGTTTTAAGGGATAAAATTGTTGATTACAGAGGGACTTTAAACAAGTATCTAACATAAAATTACCTTGAAAAGGTGCTAGCTTTTGAAAGCCACTTGAAAAGCTGCATGAAGCTGTTGTCAAAAAAGCTGATGTTAATCTCAAGTTAACACGTTTAAATCTAATATCTGATAATGCTTTTGATACTGTAATTATGTTCTTTCTTGACACAGTACAAGGATGCGTTCATGAAAGCTAACCCTGGTTACAAATGGTGTCCTGCCACCAACAAGCCGGTAAAGAGTCCCTCACACTCTGTGAGTAACTCCCGTAAGAAGGTCTGGTCTCTTCCCTCCAACCCTAATAAGGATCCTTCAGTTGCCAAAAAACAGGCCAAAACTGACAGCACACCCCAGCTCAATTTCGCCATGGCTGGTAGGAACAATACAAGCACCTGAATATGTACACACATGCACTACTGTTTAAAAGTTTGGGGTTGGTAAGATTTTTACATCTTAAAAGTCTTTATTATTACAATTTAAAGTAAATCATTCTAATTTGCTGATTTGGTGCTAAAGAAACATTTCTTATTATTATCTATGTTTAAAACAGCTGAGTCACTTAAAGGGATATTTCAAAATGGGTCATTTATGTAGAAGAAATGTGAAATTATTTTTGAATTTAGAGATTTCTAGACTGAGAAAAGCCAGAAAATGTATTTTTGGCTTATGTGGATGAAAGACAACAACTCCCAGAATGCACTTGCTTCACTGCCCTGGGAGGCCACGCCTACCGGTAACAGAGCGCAGTAGTTAAACAACAAGTCAAGGCTACTAGTGAGTCTCCGTGATGAGTCTGCCTGAAAATGTGTGTTCGAGATCACCCAAAATGTCCGGGATTCGGCTTTTGCGTTCTACAGTCGCCATTCATCATGTTTACTGTGGCGAGCGGGGCGAGTGAGGGCCGCGGGAGAACGGCGCGAGGCGGAGGCGTGATTACCGGTGAGCGACACCAGTGAGACGCACCGGTCTCGTATCTCTCACGGAGAAGCGGGAATTTTCTTAGCAATGTTAAAACGCACGTCAACCGATGACTTGTTTAGCGTTCATGTAAACACTACATTCAGATTCACCAACGGAATGAATTCAGTTAGATTGAAACGAAAGGTCTGCATGTAAACAATGAATGGCGACTGAAGAAAGCAAAAGCTGAATCCCGGACATCGATGGCTGGACATGTCGGGGAAAAGAGGATGGTAACCCCTACTACTCAGCTTTCTCCACAGAACAAGAGCTCGCTAGCTTAGCTTCCAAAAAAGATGGCCGACACTATTTGTTCATTCTGTGAGTGAGATCGCCCTCTACGGGCGGGTTGAAGACATGCGGGACAGCCCTACTACTGACTGTAGTCTTTAGCCTCTGGCCAAAAAATTCTCAGTTGACGCAAAATAACGATTTTTGCGTCATCTGAGGATTTTTTCCAAACAATAAATACATAAATCTCTCGTCTCAGGGGGATATGAGAGTGGACTGCACGGTAATTTGAAAATACTACAGGTTTTCTACTAATTCAAACAAATTCCTGAAGTATCCCTTTTCTTTATCTTTTTTTTTTTTTGGAAACCTTAATCAATTTTTCAGGATTTTTTGATGAATAGAAAGTTTAAAAGAACAGCATTTATTCGAAAAAGAAATCTAATCTTTTGTAACATAATAAGTGTCTGATAAATGTAATGGATCTACACTAAATAAAAGTGTAAATAGCTTACAAAAAAACCTTATGAAACCCCCTTTTGAACAGTAGTGTACATATACATGTCACTTGGTTTAACTTTACTGTCAAACATTTCTTAATGTCTTTTAATGCTGTGTTTATAGATCCCAATAAGATGGGGGGCCTAAGCATGCTGCTGTTAGCAGGGGAGCACGCGCTGACCGCCAGAGAGGTACAGCAACGTCATTTAATACATATGAAAATAACCTCTCAGCATAAAGTACCACATTTGAGTTCATTTGCAGATCACGACAGCATCTGAAAAACACAAATACACCACAATAATAACATTTAGAAAAGATTACAGTGTAATTGCACACGCTAATATACAGATTAGTAGTAGGAGCACAGTGTAACCACAGTCGAGTTAAATGAGCTTTTAAAACCAGGAACACAAAGAGGGCTCTAGATGAGAATAACAGTTATTAGTCTAGATCTATGTCCTCATATCTTGATGTGATTGAGACAAATCTGCATCATTCTGTACTCACGGCAGACCTCTGATATAATGAGCACATGATCAGTGCTCACGTAAATAGATTGTGACAGGCCCATCTCCACGGATACAGCAGCCGAAACGGCCTGTGACTAAACAGACTGGGATGACTGTTTTGGGCCCCAAACTGGGTTTGTGTGCCATAGACTTCATAAATTGTAGAGCTTTATGAGGCGTTCGAGACGTCACGCTAATGTGTGTGTGTGATTCAGGGATGCGAGCTGTTTGTGTGTGTTCCTGTGGGTTCCTCAGACTCTCGCCCCTGTTAATCCTCTGTAAATTCCATTTTGCTGCCACTAAGTGATCCTAATTGCCTTCGGCGCAGTGTATTTGTCACTGAACAGGGTCCACGGGAGGTTAATACAAGGTATACAAGGCAGCGGCTCCGTGTTTTGCAGATCAAATGTTTAGTCCTTTTTAAGGGACAGGGCTGAATCATTTCTACCTGTTGTCTGTCTGTAATGTTTGACCAGGAATTGTCTTTTCTGTTGTCTAACACAATCTCACACGGGTTGATCAAAAGTGACTGCGTCTGGCATTAGTGCACTGCAAGTCGTTCCAAGTGAAAAGTCACAGCTACACGTTGCTTTGTGTTGACGGACGTCTCTCTCTTTTTTTTTTCTTTTTTTTTCAAAGCTACACGTGCATCTTTATTTTCCTAGTTTGTCTTAGATCATAAAGTAATGCCATTTCTGTGAATTAGGGTTGGGAATCCCCCCACAAAAACAATTGAAACGGATACTTACAGTCAGGATTCGGATACTTAAAATAAAATAAAAAAATTGATTCCACTTGTCGATTCTTGTCGGCACGAGTGCACTGTTTTCTGTGCTAGGCACATCCAGAGAGCACACAGAAAGCCGCCTCAGTATTCATATGGTGCCTGAATACTGAATTGATATATCTTTCGCATCTTCTTGCACTTAAATGGACAAATACACACAAAAATTTTGTCAAAATAGCCTTGTAAACACAGACGGTTATGTCTTAAGTAAACAGTTGAGAAAGAAAATGCATCAGTGGATTAGCTCTTAAAGTGACAGCAGCCTAATAAACCTGCTGCCTTCTTTGTCAATGTTAATCAAAGAACAAACATAAAAATTAAATCACTCGCTAATCTTTACTGAATCACTTTTGTAACTTTAATGATTAATCTATAAACAATGCGGTGTTATTTTACATTTGATTTCCAATTTCTGAAGTTTAAGTTGACTGACTTTATGCTTGACATTAATGTTTGGAATTTATATCAGTTAATCTAGTCTATTAGCTAGCTGTTCTTTTTCAGAATAAATTTGTTTGATATTTAAATGTTTGATCTTTTTTGTTATACCGTATTGGAATCGAAACTGGGAATCGAGAAGAATCAGAATCAATAATCAGAATCAGAATTGGAATCAAAATAGCTGAAAAGCAAATGATACCCAACCCTACTGTGAATTGATTTCTATTAATTTAATACAATAGGCTATACAGTATATTCAAATATGTTTTGACTGTTACATAAAAACAGCATGTGATATTTCTCAATGCACGGCAGTAAGATATACACTTTATTATTTAACATATGTTTATAATATATTAAATATACATGTTTTTAATAATTTTATTCAACAAAGACATGTTAAAATTAAAAGTAAACACATTTATAATAATTTTAAAAGATTTCTATTTTAAAATAAATGGCTGTCTTTCTGGAGTAATGACTGCTAAAAATTCAGGAATAAATGAATTAATTGCATATATTAATCGCATAATATGAATAATTGAAAATTGTGAAAAGTGAATTGATTTCTGACCTTTAGTCATTAAATTCACTATTTAAATAACTTCTAACCATTATATCAAAGCCAGTTCATGTTTCTTGGCCTACAAATGTATACACTTTTGTTTCTAAATTTTACATTATGTAACCAAATGTAGCACATATATTATATTATTTAATCTATTTATTTATTTAATGTACAATGTATTATTTAATATATTTGAAATGTATTATATTAAAATGTTATATATGAAATATAATTGAAAAATAGTAAAATTATAATAATCTTTATTTAAAATACTTTTAAAATCACATTGAATGCAAAGTATACATAATTATTTTACCGTGCTGCTGTCTACAGTAGTTTCTGAGGTGACGTTTTCAGTGTAGACACCTCAAGCTGTCACTTTGTCACTTCCTGTTTAGACAATGTAATTGATGGGTATTTTTTATTTGATTGAATCTACCTGTGGCTTTTCCATCAAGCTGTCAACAGAGGGAGATGTTGAGTTGTAAATGTCAGTGGTAATTTCAATCAGGATGTTGATTTAAGATTGTTTACATTTATGGCTTTGTTCTGCTTTACTAATTTAATCTTTAATCATACTTTCATTTTAGATTTCCTCCAGCTCTTCCCAGACTGGATGCACAGATGTTGCTAAGCACACTGGGAAATCAGCCCTTTTCCAGCTTGCTGAGGTGAGACCACCTGAAGACTTGTCAGTTCTTAACGACAAACCTCCTTAGCAGTGAGATGTCTAATTTTTCATTTATTTCATGCATTTTGTTGACACTCTTCACTTTTTCTCATTAGATTTCTTCCAGTCCAGTGCAGCCTGCTGGAGGAAGTAAGAACGCTGAGGACACGAGCTCTCTCACACACGTAGAGGTGAGGGACTTTCAAGTATAGTTTTAGATAAGTGCTACAGTACTGTGGAAGGTTTTGGTTGTCTTGTGGGGTTAAGATGATATCCCAGCACTCATTTGGTTTGCTTTAATGTCGTTCTTAGGCCTCTGGACCATCCCAGCCAAGCTCACCTGACCTGCCCAAGAGTTGTGTTAAATCACCCCTGTTTCAGCTGGCTGAGGTACAGTTATAATAAACTCTCTCCTAGAAACCCCCCACTGTCCATCCTGCCCTGAATGTCATGTGGCCCACCTTACATGTTAGAGCTGGAGCCAAGCCTGCTCCATTGACCTTATTCTTAAAGCTGCAATAAGTAATTTTTTTTTTTTTTTGAAAAATAAAAATATTTGGGGATTTGTTGCTTTTTCCTGTTTTACTAAATTCATATCAAACCGTGACCCCAAAACCGAGGTACGTACCAAACCATGACGTCTGTTTGCAGTTATACCGCTAGCGTTGTGATTTTTACCCAGAATTGTCCTTAATAAATGAGGAGTATCTATTTTTCTATGTATATTCCTCTATGTGGGTGAATAATGTGCTTGTTATTGGTCTTAATATGCATGTTTTGTTTATCTCTGTAGCAGATCTCCTCCAGTAGGACTCAGTCAGCATCTGAGGGAAGGCAGTGCGGCCAGTCGGCTCTTTTCCAGCTCGCTGAGGTACATCATCAATCCACAATCACTGCCCCGGGTTACACAAGACGGGGATGAATCTCATGCTACATGCAGTGTTTGATGTTATAGTGCAGAATTAAAGCTCAGTGAGGCAGTGGCTGGTGTTGACCGGTTGGCATGGACTATAGCAGGCAATGTTATGTAATAAATCCTTGGACAGTTTTGATGCGTCTGCTGCCACCTGGTGGGTGTTTATATTTTTAAGTCAACCTGACAGTAAAATTGACCCTTTTTACTTGATACATGTTCCTACTTTGAATGATTCATCAGTACACATTTCCCAAAAATGTAAAAATCAAAATTTACAAAAAAAAACTAACTTGTGTTTAGAAAAATAAAAAAATGTAATAACATTTATAATATAATATAAATAAAAATATTATCATATTTGTTTTTAAATACTAATATTTGTTTTTTTGAAATTATTATTTTTTTTAAATATTAAAATGTTTGATATTTTTAATTTACAAATAATGTATTTTCATATAATTTTTCTTAAACAAGATTTTTAAACATTCTACCTATTGAACACTTGTATTTTGGAAGTGTCTGCTGCTGAAAATAAGTTTTAATATGGTTAAAACATGTTTTCCATAAGATATTAATTGGACTAATTAGGCTTAACCCTAACTCAGTAAGCACCCTAGCAACTGCATAGCAACTTTATCAAAATGTTGTAAAGTAACTTTAAACAAATTTTAAATCTATATTATTTTAAAATACTATTTATTATAATTTTTAATTAAAATTTTTCTATTTTAAAGTGAAAATACACCAGTTGAACTTTTTTTATTAAAAACTATTTGATGAAAAAGTTTAAATATCTTATAATCTTTCAGTACAATGTTTAAAGTACCATGATTAAAGATATTTTATATTATAATTCTATTATTATTATTTTTAGAAAGTAGGGAAAAATTATACAATTTGAGCAAGTATAAAAAAAGATGCATTTGCTGAAAAAGAGTTTTATATCTTATGAAAATATTATTATTATTTTTTTTACAATACTGAATAGGAATTTATTTTTTTATTAATTTGTGATAATGAAGAAACTACTTTTCATCATTCAGAAATTATTAATAGATCAAATTAAAGGCGCTAAATTTTTTCCCAATTTAATAAGCTAAGTTTCACTTAGCAACAAGTCACATTATGAGTAAAATGAGGAACAGCCTTCAGTTGCATGATATCTAATAGCCTGTAAGACATGAATATCCATGCCAGAGGTAATTTTTATCACAAAACTTCATAACCTGATGTCCTTGTTTGTTTATATAGATGTGTTTGGCCTCTGAGGCGGAGAAGATAGAAGCTCGATCCTCCCAGCCCTCTGGTGGATCCTCCTCTCTCTGTGCTCAGCACAGCTCAATTAGCACAGCCATCCCAGACCACGAAGAGCAGCGGGACCCTCCAGAACTTCCTCTCACCACATCGTCATCCTCTACCTCCGGCTCCACCTCATCCTCCCCTACTGACGCAATCCCTTCTGACATCAGCCCTTGTAAGACGCCGAAGAAGAAGAAAAAGAAGAAAGAAAATAAAGAGTCTGACACAAATCCTCCATCACCCAAAAAGGTAAAGAAGCGCCAGTCGTCCGAGTCAGACCTGGACAGCGTAATGTTCACAATTGAAGCGGTCGCAAAAGGTACTTGGGGCTCAGAAGAGACACCCAAGAAGAAAGCTCGTCCCTCAGAGAGTGAAAGCAGCCCCTCTACGGACCAATCTCCATCTGTGAAGAAGAAAAAGTCTAAACCGAAAAAACAGCTCAAGTCAAAAGACGACGCCACAGAAGAAGAGGAAGAAGGGGACGAAGAGGCTGATAAGCCACAGGATGCGGAGATAAAAACTGAGGAAGCTCCTTTGACCCCTAAAGCTGAGTTTGAGAATGAACCAGACTTGGAGGAGGAGCCCCCTAGTGGCCTGGAGGACATGGAACCACACTGCTCTCCTCTGCAGCCAACGGAACTGGAGGAGAAAGACACAGACACCAAACCACCTCAAACCACACAGGAAGATAAAGACCTTGAGGTTAAGCCGGAGAATTGTGGGTCCAGGAAGTCTGAGCGAAGCTGTAAAGGAGCGCTTTACAAGACTCTGGTGTCTGAAGGGATGCTCACATCACTGAGAGCAAACGTAGACAGAGGTAACGTGCTCACACACTCCTCACAGGGTCTGTTCTTGTTAGTTGATTTTGTCATACTGACCGGATTTGAAACTCATTTCCCTCTAGTTTCAGCTGATCATGTGGAGCAAATAGTTGCTTGGAATAAATATACTTCCTTAGGAACATATTTATCGCCCACATGCTATTCTGCAGAAATGACAACACTGAAAAAAAGTGTTTCAATTGTGCTTTCCGGGGCTGAAGTACCTCAATGACTTCTTTGAAATGAGTTAAATTTATCTCATACTGAATAGCATTTAGTATTTTCACGTAATTTGATTCATTTGGCCATTATATCATGATTAATATTTAAATTATTAACAGTTGATTTGACAGTGAATGAGAAATGTACTGTTTGGGCTGCTGGTGTGTTTTCTAGGGAAAAGAGGTTCCATGCGAGGCAGTGTGTCTGATCATGAGGGCAGCTGGAATGATGAAAGTTGGGGATTTTCTCAAGCTGCGACCAGCAACCCAAAAAAGCTCAAGAAGTCCAAGTCTAAAGAGGAAACCGCCCAGGGGTGAGCTGTAATTTCCCCCATCACAGCACTGAATATCCTTGGAGATGGTGATCTTTCTCCTGCAGAGGAGTTTTTGATTGGGGCTGCAACTAACAACTATTTTAATAATGGAATTTGTTTCCAGATTAATGGAAATGGGTTAAGACATGCTTAATTAAATAATGGCACAAATATCAGTCAACTGACTAATGCAAATCTTAGTGAATCATGTTGCTTTATTTATTTAAATACTCTCCTCTCATAAATGTTGCGTATGAAAGGGAATTCCTACAAATGCATACACTAAACAATAAAGATAAAATCACAATAAAGTCAGTCGCAAATTCAATTCACCGCTAATTTTTTACGGTATGTCTTTACTAAATCCTAACATAGTTTTTTAAGGCCAAAAGAAGGTTTAAATAATTACAAATTTGTTGCCGACTTCATTTTTTTAGTAATTTTATTTAGTTGCAGCCTTGTTCACCATTGACTATAGATTGATTGTCAATGATATTGTTTGAATCCGTACATTTGATGGTGAGCTGCATTGAACTTTTTATCTATGTTAATTATCTAAAAATATTTGAAACATCTCAAAAGCTGTCATTTTTATGTGGATTAGGATAGCTCGGTAACTAGATAGTCTAAGGAATTTTGTACATTTCACCCATGCTCATATTTGCCATCCCATGATCATAGTATTCAGAGGATCATAGTTTGTCAAAGTGTTTGAGTTAGTTCACCCAAAAATGAAAATTCTGTCAGTAATTACTCCCCCTGATGTTTTCCCAACCCTGTAAGACGTTCGTTCATCTTCAGAACGCAAATTAAGTTATTTTTGATGAAATCTTAGAGCTGGATCACTCATTTTTTTTAATTTTTAGCGAATCCAATTTTGCTTATCGTATGCGGTTCTTAGCAATTCTTGTTTCCAATTCCAAGATTTTTTGGTGGAGAGAAACAAAAGGGCAAATACTTTAAGAATTAATACATCTAGCTTTTATTCTTGCCAATTTTAAGCAATAACCAATAAAATGGCTAAAGTGAAAGGAGTCTCTTCAAATAATGGTGATGTTTACATTATTACTCCAGTAGGTGGCAAAAATCGACTTTATTTTTCATTGAATCATTTATTCAACAAGATTCAAGAGATTAATTCAAAAACAATGAATCATTCATTAAGTAAATATCACAACTATTTATGAATGAAATACTGAATTGATTAGTTTTAAAAGTGTTTGAAATAAAGATTCTGTGTAGTTGCCTGAGATATGTAATCGTGATCTCCATTTTAAACAAAACAAAAACGATTTTAAACCAAATTGATTCTTGAATTAGGGACCATTCACAAATCGCGTCTAAAAACGCTCATTGGCGCCCATTGTTTAGTCACAAGGCGTTAAATATCGCGCGCGAAATTCGTCCCGGTGTGAACAGGCCTTTAAGGTTGAGCCACTGTAGTCACTTGGACTATTTTAACAATGTCGTCTATAACTTTTTTTGGGATGGCAGATGGAATTACCTAGCAGCCTATGAAGGAGTGAGCTAGTGTTCAGATTTCATCCAAAAATATCTTAATTTATGTTCTGAAGATGAACAAAAGTCTTACGGGGTTGGAAACAACATGAGGGTGAGTAATTACAGACAGAATTTCAATTTTTGGCTGAACTGAACTCTTTAAGAACATTCCATCATGTTTCATTGTGCAAGATTGAATTAAGTTTAGAGATGCACCGATTACAAATTTCTAGGCTGAGTTTGACCTGATTTTAGCCAATTCCGATTTTATTTTTTCGAACCATTTTTTAATATTCAATAACACAAATATTTTTTTTTTTTATAAAACACCATATACTTTTACTCAACCTCAATAATAAAAACAAGTTTACAATTTCTTTTCTGACATAGCCTACTCCAGTTCTTGTTAAAACACACAACATGCAAATTCTGTGCATTTTGGGAACTTTTAAATCCTTTTTTTTTTCATCAAAAGTGTGTTTTCACTTTAATTGAGCGTGAGCAACGCTGTAAAAATATACACGGCGCAGAAACCGCTTCGCTGCTGCACACGCGACGTTCCTACTTGACCCTCACACGTTGCTCCTGCTCCCGGTGTGAATGCACTCATTGATTGACAATTAAAGCCGAAAAAATATGCGAAAAAATAAAAAGGGGTGAAACGGTCGAAATTCGTTTCCTACATGTGCACGTGTGATACTGATGTTAATCATGCGGCGCCCGAGTGCATTTGGCCGGTCGCCGGCCATGGCTGCTCACGTCAATCGGTGCATCTCTAATTTAGTTTGCCTAGAAGACTTTAAATCCAGGTGAGCAGATTTTGCACACAGATTGCTAATGTTTGACTGTGTATAAAACTCACAGACTAGGAAAGCTTGAGGAGGAGTTCGAGAAAAAGTTCAACAGCTTACCGCAGTACAGCCCCCTGACATTTGACAAAAAGAGTGTGGCTGTCACCAAGAAGAAAAAAACCAGTACATCCAGCCCTCCTGAACCACCCAAACCTTGCAAGGGTGAGTGCACTGCATGCATGGAAACTTAACTAATCCTCCCGGCCCACCGACCACACTCATTTCCTCATTTGCTTACTTTATTTAGGAAGTAGTCATCTCATGTTCAGAATGACACGACTTCCACCTAACATAGCATGCTGTGTTGTTTTGTTTTTTCTTTTCTTTTGTATTGCTTTTGAAATTAGGTCCATCTTCATCTCAGAAAAAGACCTTATTCCACAAGATAGTGAACAAGTACAAACACAGGAAGGAGAAATCCAGTGGCGCAGACAAAGGTGACAGCCATTAGAAACTGTTCTGAAATCAGCTTCATTTTCTGTTCAGACAGCAAGAGTGTGTGCACGAGTGTTGGAAACTCTGCCTGCGTGGTTTTGGCTGTTGTTTGTCCGTGGTTTTGCCCAGTGTGTCTCAGTGTTTCCTGCCGCATAGCAGGGAACGCTGTCATATCTAGGTCATGGTATACTCTAGTTATCTTAAAGGGGCACACATGTAACAGTTATGTAAATACTTTGATTTATTCTGTTGTGGTGCAGTACAAGTGGCACAAGCTCAATTAAATATACCACTAATTATTGTCAGGATGTCTGCATTAGGACTTCCAGGTCTCAGTCTTGACATTTTTCATGTGTTCATTTAGACCTCGACACACCTGAGCCCATGGTTACAGAATCAAGTCCAGTGAAGTCGGGCAGTCCGTGTGTGTCTCCCTCTCCTGAACCCCAGAAGGTTCTGGACACACCTGTGGGCAGTCAGAAAAGGAAGGCCAGGAAGAGTAAGATCACACACTTGGTGCGCACGGCCGATGGTCGAGTGTCACCTGCAGAGGGTGAGCCGAACCAGTTTCCTGTCACTGGTTTATTTGTGATTTCTAAACAGATAAGAAACACCCTGCACCAATTTTTTTTTAGTGCACAACACTGTTCAAAAGCTTGTCGTTGTTTTTTTATTGCTCATTGAGGCGGCATTTATTTGATAAAAAATACACTAATATTGTTATATTATAAAATAACCAATATTTTAAGATGTAAATTATTCCTGTCTTGGCAAATTCTCCATTCCTCATTGTCACATGATTCTTAACGATTCTAATTTACTTGTTTGATGCTCAAAAAGCATTTCTTGTCATTATTATTCACTTATTGTGCTGCATATTTGTTGCAGGGTTTTTTTTTTTTATTTGAAGAATAGAAAGTAAAAAAAAAAACAGCATTTATTTGAAATAGAAATCTTTTATAACATAAATGTGTTTATAATCACTTATTGTTGTTGTATTTGTGTATATAAACACTAGCCACTGATATCATTGCAGACACATTTGTCACCTATGTAATACCGCAACCAAAAGTTTCCGACAATAGAAGATTACTAAGATAAAATGATCCACATTAATCTAGCCACATCATCTCAGCATGTGGAAGCAAACTTTCTCATGTAGAATAAAATAGCCTGTTTATGTCATGTCTATGACTGGATTCTTCATATCACCTGACATATGAGTCACTGAAAACATACTTGAGTTGTTTGTCTATGCTGTCCTGCCACCAAAAGAAGATTGGGGGGAGCATATTTGTATAAAAGTCTGAAAATTATTGTTTTCTTTTGCAGCAGAAGACAAATCTAAGGATCAGACCAAGAATCAGGATGAAAAGCCATTCACTCAAGAGACATTATGCAATAGCGGGGTCTGCTACAATGACCCCAGATCAGCGGAAGTGGACCCACCAGATACGTCCGGTGGCCTCCCGGCCTTCTTCAGCTTAGCTGCTCTCGCTGAGGTTGCAGCCATGGAGAATGTGCACAGGTAGATGGGACACCATGCAAACTCATGGGCGTGTTGATGTGTGTGTTGATAATAAAGCCTGAGTGTTTGTTCCAGAGCCCAGCGTGCTGTGAGCATCCCCACTGAAGGTCAAGTGAAGGACATGGCTCCTGTGCTGATTTCCTGCGCGGACCAGTGAGGCCTCAGCCTGGCTCGGGACGGGTTTAGTCCGGACTGGGCTCATGTACAGACATGCTGGGGCCTTATTCTTGACCCTCGGCCCCCGATGCCGAGGATTTAGAGCGAGCGAGAGCGAGAGAGACTGGAAAGGGATGAGGGAAGCTTTGAGACGGATGAAGATGCTTTATCCCAGAGGCCTACACCTTACACCCAACCCCACCCTCCCTCCCTCTCACCTCCCCTCAGGGCCCCGGGGGAGCCAATTCTGGTCCCTAAGCCTGTTTCCTCTTGTGGCTCTGGACCAGTTATCTGATTTTCACAATCTGCAAGAAATGGCTACTATTTAAGGTCAAGTTTTGCCTACAAAAAGTGCATTTGAAGCTTGTCTTTCTCTATCTTTCTCGTTTCTGTTCCTGGTTGGCTTCATTGCACAAACGTCTTTCTCACACAGCAGAGTACGTCTTCTCTCGATCAGAGGAACGTTTTGTGGCTTCCTGCCCCCTTTACTGCTCTGAATCTTATGAAGCGAGAGAGAACGAGTGTTTTCAGACTGCTCAGCCTCATACCTCACAAACCTGTTCAGATTTTTTTTCTCTGCACAGAAGCACCACCTTCACCTTCATAATGCACAGTCAATGCCTAGATGCCTCTTTCTTTCAAGCAATGACCCTCAATGTGTCTGGTGCCTCTATTGATGAGAGTTAACCACCTGTAATTCTCTCAAAAACAGCAGCGCGATGTGGGAAGCGAGGTGTTTGCACAAGACGCGCTGCGGTCGCAGGCATACCGACGAGCAGGGTCCAAAATTAGTGTTTGGCAGCATTGAATATTTATATATGTGTGTGTGGGTATATAGATATACCACCGTTCAAAAGTGTGCGGTTGGTTTTGACAGAGGTGTCATATGCTCAGCAAGGCTGCATTTATTTGATCAAAAATAAGTAAAAACAGTAATATTGTGAAATATTAATATTCAATATATTTTAAAATGTAATTTATTCCTGTGATCATTATGCCAATCTTCAGTCTCACATGATCCCTCAGAAATCATTCTAATATGCTGATTTGCTGCCCAAAAAACATTTCTTATTATTATCATTCTTAAACATTTTTTTTTGGAAATAGGCTCATTTTACCACTTCCCCAGAGTTAAACAGTTGGGTTTTACCGTTTTCGAATGTATTCAGCCGATTTTATGATATTTAGAAGAATATTAGTAACCAGACAGTTTTTCTGGAAGTCAATGAGACCAGAAACTGTCTGGTTACTGATATTTTTCTAAATATTAGAAAATTAGCTGAATGGATTTGAAAATGGTAAAACCCAAATGAGCCTATTTCCAGTTGTCCTGCTTAATATTTTTGTGGAAAACGTGATCTTTTTTAATCGATATTTCGATCAATAGGAAGTTAAGAAGAACATAATTTTTTTGAAATAAATACTTTGATCAATTTAATGCGACTTTGCTGAAAAGAAAATGATTCATTTCTTTATAAAAAATCTTCCTGACCCCAAACTTTTGAAAGGTTGTGTATATGAAGAGTTCAGATGCAAAAGCCTCTAAATGCCATTTGAAATTTTCTTCTTTAATGATGATTTTTATCAAACTTGTATATTTATGTTCAGTCATTTCACTTAAATAACAATTAATAGGTAATTATCATTGGCATTTAAGTGAAATTACTGAACTTAAATATACAAGTTTGATAAAAATCATCATTAAAGAAGAAAATTTCAAATGGCATTTAGAGGCTTTTGCATCTGAACTCTTCATATTCTAAAAAGTAATAACAGTACATATATATTTATAATTTTCCCTCATAATTTTTTTTATAATGGAAACTAAAGATGAGTAATTAATATTTCGGCCAGCAATTTTCATTAACCGTTGGCAGTTGTTGCAAAAAGTTAATTTTAGACCTTGCCTACAAGTGTTTCTGACTGAATCACCGGATGGAAAGTCAGTCGAACCTTTTTATATTGTGACACCCCTCTGCGCTCTTGTCTGACACACACACAGCTATAAATGAGTTCGTTATCAGAGCAGTATGGCGAAACTTGAATGAAAAGAAAATGCATTTTATGTCAATACTTGACCTTACTGCAGTGTGTAGCGTCTTGCTGGCTAATCCAAAAGAGTGCTACTCCTCTCTAATATAGTTTAATAATAGACACTGCACTAATTTTAGCTACCGTAGAGGATGCTTGTAGTTGTCTTTGGCTTTCGTTGTAATATCGAATTTTGTTTGCGTTTGTTTTTATTCTCAAATTAGCTTTTGTATCATCACTGAGATACTCAGCCCTGGTTTTCTTCTTGTACCTGAGGCTGTAGACGCCATTCCAGCTCAAAGTTTAGCTGATTCTGTCCATTCCTCCAAGCACACGGTGGGAGAGAGTTGGAGAGGAAAAGAAAACAGGGTTTGACGTAGAGGAGAAAGGAGTTTTCCTCTTTCCCTCTCTCTCTCTCTCACACACAGTCAGCATAGCACGTTCTTCTGCAATGTGCACATCCTGTGTTTAGGCACTTGTGAGTCAGACACCTCCGGGTTCATCTTTAGGTTGTCAAGCCAGATTATGTGCTTTGTATTAGCGACACATTGGAAAAAAATCATGTTCTTATTAGTTTTTTTCTTGTAAAAATATCAAAACAATTCTTAAAGGAGTAGCTCACTTTAAAAAAAACTGTTGCTGATAATTTACTCACCCCCATGTCATCCAAGATGTCCATGTCTTTCTTTCTTGAGTGGAAAAGAAATGAAGGTTTTTGATGAAAACTTTCCAGGATTTTTCTCCATATAATGGACTTCAATGGGAACCAAACAGTTCAAGGTCCAAATGAGAGTTTCAGTGCAAACTGCAAACTGTTCAAAGAGCTTTAAATGATTTCATCAAAATGAACGAAACTTTTCCCGAGTCAACTCATTCATTTCGTTCGTTGAATGAACCAAATGACACGAGTTTGAACAGGAGAGTCACGAACGCTCAGAACAGAACAAGGCGGCCATTTGAGATTATAAAACTTGTTTTGTTTTTTTAAATGAGCGATCGTTTCGCTTGATAAGACCCTTATTCATCGTCTGAAGTCGTTTAAAGCCCTTTGAACAGTTTGCAGTTTGCACTGAAACTGTCTTTTGGACCTTGAACCGTTTGGTTCCCATTGAAGTCCATTATATGGAGAAAAATCCTGGAATGATTTCATCAAAAACCTTAATTTCTTTTCAACTGAAGAAAGAAAGACATCTTGGATGACATGGGGGTGAGTAAATTATCAGCAAAAGTTTTTTTTTTTAAAGTGAACTACTCCTTTAAAACAAGAACAATTCATCTGAGAAGCAAAATTGTGTAAGATAAGACTTGTAATTTTTTACCATTTGCTTTTTTCTTTTTCTTAAAAAAAAAACTATCAAATTTGTTAGATGTATACTGGAAAAGTAAGGAAAATGAGATAATTTCAAGATTAGTGTTCAGTGATTCTTTCTGTTGGTCATTATGCCAGTGGTGACAAGCCAGTTTCATTTTGTTTAGTTATGAGGAAGTTGTGAATCATCATTTACATGATCAAAACCTGCCTTATTATCATTCATTAAAATATGAGTGCCTAAAAATCTACTGAAACTCTTCGGAAAGGTTTTATCATGGAGTCATGGAGCTGATTGTGAATGATTGAACTACTTAACAGATTCATTCAAAAACTCCCGATTCGTTCAATTGTCTTTAGCAGTTCTGCTTCTCGAGTAAAATTGTTTTCAGGATGTTTCGATATTTTACCGGAAAATAATATGAATTTTGCAGTGCACATCAGTTCCCTGTGTTCTCGGGCTGGTTCGAACCTCAGACTCTTCTTCCCGAAACCCTCCTGAGGTCGCAGGGAGCCTAGATTAGATAAAATGAAGGAATTCTATAAGCCAGATCACAGGTTTAAAAGCCACACACTCTTTCACTGTTACAGTCAAGCTTTTTTCCGTTTTAATAAGACGATTGATGTTCTTTTGTTTGTTTTGCTTTTAGAGTCACCGTTTTTTCTTCTATAAGTGATATTGTCTGTGAATTTATGAACTTATAACTAATAAGATTTTTTTGTACTCCTTCGAAATACTGTATTTAATTTGTTCCCCCTAGAACACCTTCTGTAGGGCGCTGCTTTTCTTCGCTTTGTTCGTAACATTTCATTTAGAAACCTCGGCCTTTTCTGAGGTGTGCTCTACTGGATCGAGACTGTTGTCAAAAGCTCATATACAAATATCTGTGTATATATACCTATGCTTACCTGTTAAGCCAACAAGCACTGATAAAGAATGCAGCGCCTCTAGAGTAGACGTTTAGTTCCTGCTTACTGACGGCGGGCGCGAGATCTGTGTCTGAATGTCCCCCTTTCCTGTTATTTATACAATAGAGGCATTTACTCCAAGCCAAGGGTTTAAACCTCAGTGTATTTTAAGTAATAGAAAGCTTGTAGGCTGCAATTGTGCCTGAGGCAGTTGTGAGACATATTGATGATGTTTACCTGACAAATCAGGACCTGATCACTTTTATAAGTGTGATTTTATTAAGCTAGTTTTATAAATCACCTGTAAGGCCCTGCTTATAAAACTTTAAAAGTGCATAGTAGGGTAAGGCAAATATTATAAATCAAGAATAATAAGACGCTAAACCTCCTGCTCAGCTGTTTCGAATCCGTTGATTGTCATTATGGACGATTTGAATTGTATCAATCAGTAATCTGATTGTAAATTATCCTCTCCTCGGCTTAAAGGGAAATAGTTCACTTTGAAATAAATTTTTGGTATGTTTTAGCTTACCTCAAGGGCATCCAAGATGTAGGTGTCCGTTTCCGCAGTATTTTCAGTTTTGATATTTTTAGGTCAAACCGTTCGAGTCTATCAGTCATATAATGGAGGTCTATGGTCACCACCTCAAAGAGCATGCACAGAGAAGTCCAAATTAAACATGATTTAATGACTCCTAAATGTAAGTACACATTAATGGCCTAAGACACGAAACGAGCGGTTTGTGTGAGAAAACGTAGTATTTATATGGTTTTTACAAGAGGTAAACATTGGTTACAAGAGGTAAAAACGATATAAATACTGTTCGTTTTCTCACACAACCCGCTCTTTTCATGTCTTAGGCCATCAATGTGTACTTACATTTACGAGTCATTAAATCATGTTTAATTTGGACTTCTCTGTGCATGCTCTTTGAGGTGGTGACCATAGACATCCATTATGTGACTGTTTGACCTAAAAATATCAAAATTGAAAATACTGCGGAAACAAAGACACCTACATCTTGGATGCCCTTGAGGTAAGCTAAAACATACCAAAAATTAATTTCAAAGTGAACTATCCCTTTAAACTTTTAGTCAGAGTGGATGCTTTGTTTATGCTAATGCTTCCACCTTGACTAATGCTGCGGTCACATTGCGTGCAAAATTCAGTCATCACAATAGGAATCTGCGTGTCTTTCACTCCTGTTCAAGCTGGTCAGATGAACTTGGTTTGAAAGTCACTTGTGTGTGAGCAGTGCTCTCTCGCTTTTTTACACCCCAAATTTCGCTAATGTGACCGCATTGGAAAATGATCCGTTTCCTCAAAGGACGCCATATCATAATTTACGCTACTCACCCGAGTCCCATGTTTGTTGTTCACAGGAAGTTACTCGTCTTCCCTCGCGCATAACGCGCCTCGGACGCAATTTTAAGTTCTTCCCGGCGATCAGGAGACGTGTTGCACGCGCGTCGTTCTCTCAGACATTTGCCAAAGAAAAGCGAAAATAGTCTGTAAGGGAAATTTCATGATGCAGAGAGCCAGGCTTTTATCCGTCTTCAGGTTTTCAAATGTATTTTATCAGCACAACTAATTCTTCGAATCTTTTTCTGACGGTTTTTCCTCTGAATGAACCTGCAGTGAGAGTGGTGTGCAAAATGTTGGCACCTTTTTAATGCCTATTTTAGAAAGACAATATTTGCACCTTAAACCCATACCAAAACAACATCATGTTTTTTAAAGGGATTGTTCACCCAAAAATGTCAAATCCTGTGCTCACCCTCGTGTCGTTTCAATATTTGAGGAACACAAAAGATGATGTTTAGCGGAATGTTCA